CCATCACTTTTTTTCTAACAACTTCATGTACTTTTTTTCTTTTTTTTTTAAGTTTATTTTTATGTGTATGAGTGTTTTGCCTGTGTGTATATGTGTACCACATGTGTGCAGTGCCCACGGAAGTCAGAAGAGGGTGTCGGATCCCCTGGAACTAACAGGTGGTTGTTAGCTGCCATGTGGGTGCTGGGAACCAAACCTGGGTCCTCTGCAAGAGCAGCAGTGCTCTTAACTGCTGAGCCATCTCTCCAGCTCCTCATTGTAGAAACTTTTTTATTTGATGTGATCCTGTTTATTTTTATTTTGTAAGCTGAGCTTTTGATATCAATATTGTACATATGTTGGTAAAAATACTTGAGCACTCAAATGATATGTGTATGTATGTGTACCCATATGTATGTTTTAAAATGAAGGTTCTTAAAGTGTCACCCATGGGCTCCTGGGCATCTCTGTGCTGTCCAGGGCATCTGTAAGTTCTAATCCATTTTCATACTGGTATTAAGATGTAATTGTCCTTTTTTTCACTGTGTTGACATTTACAGTGACAGTGTAACAGCAACGGTAGATGAACTTGCTGGTGCCTTGTACAAAGGGCGATGCCAGCAAGCACTCTGCTCCTCATCCCCATGCTCTCACTCACTGTGCTCCTCATCCCTGTGCTCTCGCTCACCGTGCTCCTCATCCTCATGCTCTCACCGTGCTTCTCATCCCCATGCTCTCACTCACCGTGCTCCTTATCCCCGTGCTCTTCATCTCCGTGCTCCCGCTCACCGTGCTCCTCATCTCCGTGCTGCCGCTCACCGTGCTCCTCATCCCTGTGCTCTAGCTGCCTGTGGTCCTCACCCCTGTGCTCTTGCTCATGCTGGTCCTCTTCCCTGTAGTCTCACAGTTATGTGAAACTAGTATTTGTGTTAAAATGGCTAATGAAGTTTGATGTTTTGGGCCAGGCGTGATGGCCCATGCCTTTAATCCCAGCACTTGGGAGGTAAAGGCAGGTGGATCTCTGTGAAGTCAAGGTTGGCTTGGTCTACATAGCAAGTTCAAGGCCAGTCAGGGCTGCACAGTGAGGACCCTTTCTCAAAAAGTCTAATAAAAAAGGTTTAAAAAGTATTTTAAAAAATATTTTATTAGCCGGGCATGGTAGCGCACGCCTGTAGTCCCAGCACTTGGGAGGCAGAGGCTGGCGGATCTCTGTGAGTTCAAGTCCAGCCTGGTCTACATAGTGAGTTCCAGGACAGCTGGGGCTACAGGGAGACCCTGCTTCAAAAAGATAAAAAAAATTATTATTTTTGTTTTATTTTATGTGTATGAGTGTACTGCATGCATGTATGTAAGTGTACTTGTGTTGTGCAATGCCCAGGTCAGGATGTCGGATCCTCTGAAACTGGAGTTACGGACAGTTGTAAGCCACCATGTGGGTGCTGGAATTTGAACCTGGGTCCTCTGGAAGATCAGCAAGTATTCTTTACCACTGAGCCATCTCTCCAGCCCCTAAAAAACCTTTAATAATTTAATTCTACTAGGTCTCAATTCTTAACTGTCTTTCTCATCTTTTACTATAACGCAATAGGAAGTAGGTTTTCCCTTGAGGTGACCACTCTCTGAATAACAATACTGACTACAGCTGGGGTAGCCTCAGAAGTCACTGAAGTCGGGTCTGGCCCATCCTGGACTGGTTATGCACCCCCTTCCAGGAGTGTTTGAGAATCAGCCTGGGAACTAGCTCAAGAGAGTGAAGTGAGTTTCATGTATGTATCTAGAAAAAGAGAGAGAGGAAGGCTTCAGCTTTGAAAAGGTGAAAGGAAATTATAATCAAGTATAGTAGGAAGGGCAAGGATGCCAGGCACTGTTCTAAAGTGACTGAAATAACGACATGTGGCCTAAAACATCTCATTCTGACAGCACTACAGCAAGACACATAAATTAAAAACTGAAATTTAAAAAATTGAAATTAAAATTATGACTATATGATCTTGGTATTTGACAGATATTTTCCTGGAAATGAATGACCCCCAAGGAAACTATTTGACTGTATTAGTTGCCAATGAAAAAGAAAAAGAAAACAAAAACCAAAAATACAAAAAGTACAACCTCAAGCTTTCAAGTAAAATTTAAGAGTTTTGAAAAACTCATATCTTTCACCATGAATTTGACAGTTCCTAATACTTAATAACTTCTCTAATGAGATTAGTGGTGATACTAACAAATATGATATTCTGTATTATACTGAAATGGGTCAAAATTTGAAAGATCTGCAGGCTTCAATAAACCAATGTTTTCCAAAGTATTGGTCACATATGTAAAGGACCACTCAAAGTATAAGAATAAAAGACTTGATTTCAGATTTCTTACTTACAGCTAAACTATAAAAAAACTACCACTTGCCAGCCTGTCATCCTAGCACTCAACAGGCGTAGGCAGGAAGATCATGAGTTCAAGGCCTGTGTTAGCTGCAGAGTGAGATCCTGTCTCAAAACAAAAACAAAGAGGAGGAAGAAGAGCAAACATCACTCACTCCTTTTGTTTGTTTTCTTTTTTAAAATATTTATTATTTTTCTGTGTATGAGTATATTGCCTGCATGTATGTAAGTGCACCTGTGTCATGCAATGCCCATGGAGGTTAGAAGAGGGTGTCAGATCCCCTAGAACTGGAGTTACAGATGGGTGTTAGCCACCACGTGGGTGCTGGGACTCGAACCCAGGTCCTTTGCAAGAGCAGTCAGTACTCTTAACTGCTGAGCCGGTCTCCAGCCCATTTCTCTTTTCTTAAGACAGAATCTCACTATAGAGTTCTGCCTGGTCTGGGACTCATTGTGGTACCCAGGCTGGCCTTGAACTTGTGATGATTCTCCTGCTTCAACTTCCTGGCTTTTGTTGTGAAAGTCGACCATCCTTAGGTATCCTTCCCTTTGCCAGTTACTTATCTGAGAGTCTGGATTGTCTTCATTCCAAGCAACGTGTATCACACAACACACTGAATGCAATAGATACACAAATTCAGCTGAATTCTACTAAGTCAGTCATGAAAAAGTTACAAAACTGCAAAACGGCACCCACCACTCTTTTCACTAAATCTTGGTTATGTTAACATGTCTATTTCTAATGTTTTATATAAATATAATGGGCTTTTTAAATTGATTTTTTAAGTTTCTCAGTTTTAATTTCTAATGTCAATAATCAATAAATATGACATAATACTTTTAGGGGTCCAATATAATTTGGAGTGTTAATAGAATGCTGAGATTAAAATGTTTAAGAGTCATCAATTTAGACAGTGCATACCTAATTCATACTTAAAGCGTGCATGTGTATATATGTGTGTGTGTATAAAGTACATTTTTAAATGTACATAACAGAAATATGGAGATGAAAAATGGCATTTCAGTGGTTCTAGCATGTTTCCGCCCTCCCAGGGCTGGACAGCTGGGTCTATAAGCATAAAATGTCCAGTCAGTAAAAATCACAGTTTCAAGAACTTAAAGGGGAAGCACAAGGAAAACGCTGGTGATGGAGTTTTAGTCACTGACGGGGTGCTTCCTCGGAACAAGACCTGATGACACTGCCGCTCTCTAGAGTGTGACACTTTCTGGAATGAGCATAGAACCAACATTAGAGACCTGCAGAGGAAGATACTGACGGCATGGCGGCCGGACTCAAGAGAGTTGGTGGAGGAGTACCAGATTGTACACTGTGTGCCTATGTGAAGGCTTTGGGCTCATACCCTTCTTTGGTGGGAACAACCCAGGACTTAGAGCTTAAGCCCCTCTCAGATCCTCTGACCCTGCAAAGGGCTCATGTCAGAACCTAATCTATTTGCCTGCAGAGCAGCATCTTAACACCAGCTTGCCTCCATGCCAGCATGCTGTATGCAGCTCTGAATCGTGAACAGCCACATCAGTGTGAGGAGGGCTTGGGGGTAGGATCCATCTCCTCTGCAGGGTAGCCTTGTTCCTCACCTGTGGGTTGGAACTTCTATCACAAGTAGTGGCTGTGCTGCTCTCATTCAGGGAAAGAGTCAATCACCAGCCTTGGGGTGAGCTTACCCTTCCTAGGGGGCTGCTTGTCAGGGAGTTCTGCTTCCCATGGAGACCTTTCTGTCACAAAGAAAATTGCTTCCTTTCAGAGAAAACCTTGCAGGCTTTAGAGCTCTTCTGTCCTTTATAAATGATGTCCTGTTGGCCAGGAAGTGTCACTTTTTTGAAGTTTAAGTCTGTGAAGCAGCATCTTTTCACATTGTGAGGGCATCTCCCTATAACCCTGTGCCAGGTAAAATGTTCCTTTCTTCTCCTAGTGCCTTGGATCTTCTCTTCACCGTCTGTAGCAAGTCACCCTCCCCAGTGCCACCATTGTCTGCTTTTAATTATCTAGTCAATCCTTATGTAGTATTTTAGTAGAGCAGCCATTAGATTCAGTAAAATACTAGGTAGGGCATTAGAGGAAATTTGGCCAAATCACCATTTTATACCAGAAGTGGGTGGAAAGTATTAATGATAAGAAGAGAAAAATGTGGTTGAGAAGAACTGGGCACAAGGGTACTCAGGCACTGGGCAGCTACCTGCCTGCTGGAGCCTCCATTGTCTTGCTGTCAAAGTGGACCCAGGCCAGTGGTTTACTGGGGACTGTCTGGGCATTAACCTAGAAGACATCAGTCCTGGAGAGGACTGTGTGTTTGGGCATCTGCGTACCCCCTTGGACTCTATTTTAAACTTGAGGCTAGTTTTTAATGCTTGAATGGACGTAGAACACATCAAATACTCCAGCTTTCTGAGGCCTACATTTGGCAGGAAAGCATGTGACACCTCTAGATTGAGGTCATGGTTATATTCTCTCTCCCCATGATAAGGATCTGCTTTCGTTCTGACTTCCTTACCTGCCTGTTGGGTATACTGTTTGGGAGGTGGGGGACAACTTAATGGTTTAAATGAATAGGGTAAAATAATGTCGGACACACTTAATTTAAAGAATACGTTGTTCTCATGTATATTTCTCTTTTCTCTTTTCAGGGACCCACATCTTCTGGACCCAACTCTGGAATATGTGAAGGTAGGAAACCAGGTTGTAACATGTAGTTATGACCATGGGTAATAGAATTCCCACTTCAAACACAGTGCTGGCTTACATGGAAAGCTGGCTAGATCATCTAAAACAGGAAGTTTGGCTCTCTCTGGCCTTGGAAACTTTATAAGACTCTCTGTCTCACTATTACAGGTATGTAGTCTTTCCTCCCTGTAGGCCAGATGTGTTTTAAAATTTCAAGCAGTAGAGGCTTGTTTTTTGTTTTGTAAAGTATGGCTTTTCTCTCATAAATAATACCTCCAAAGGGGTCTGGAGTTGGCCCCATATAATCAAACTCATCATTTTGGTAATGACATATAAGAATAATCATACTAGATAAACAGGATAAACAGATACAGAGGATTTTATGAATTCAAGTCACATTTTTCCACCAAATAAGGTCATTCATTCTTGTTGCAAAATGAATTCTTTTGTAAACTCTTGGTTTTCAGAGTTTGGAGGATTTGAAGATGGTAGATGAGGAATTATGTGCAAAGCTTTATCTTTTTTGTAGAAGACTAAATGAAGGTCCCTGATGTTGTAAGAACTGTCCTTTCCTTTCTAACAGTCACTGTCCCTCTCAGTGGCTAATGTGGGGCCAAGCAGTACTGTGGCTGACCAGTGAGGTTTGCTGTACAATGGACTCACAGTGCTGCTCACTCTCCAGTCCTTTTGAACCATCTTCTTTCTGAGCAGAAAGAAAATACCATTTTTACTTCTGCCTTCTGCCTTCTCGCCATTTGGGGATGTGAATGTTCACTTTGTTGTCTTTTATATTTAAACTATGATTAAATCAGATTTATTGAAAGCATCTCATTATTTTTTAGGGGAAATTGTGGTATGAGTTTGTATGTAGACTTTCCTCATTAGGACCCATAGTCCATCTTTATTCCAAGTTCAGAGCACTTGGACTGTTGTTTCTTTATGTACTTGAGCTTTCCTTCTAGGTTTGGCAGTCTCTCCCTCTTTAGACCAGAGGATAGATGGGAGAGGAGAAAGCGCCAGTCGAACTACCTGATCATGTGGAGCATTATATGGGAGTGTGTGGTATGGATATGGGTGTCATTTCTTCCCCTCACTTATTCCTGAGTAATGTCAGAGGTATTGTGACCACAATAAGTGTGTGATCCTAAGCCAGCAGGGCCCCCACACTCAGAGCTTTATAGACTGAGTATATATGCCCCTTATCTATATATCTCACCTATTTTTGTTCAGGTTGTGTGCTACAAAGATGATATTAACATAGACTATTTCAACTTAACTATAGCATAGAAAATATTCACTGGAATGATGCAGTGTGTAAGTTACAGCAGCCCTTTAAAAGTTGTTCCATTCCATGTTTAAGAGATGGGCCGACTCCCATCATAGCCTCGGTCCCTCTCTGTTCAACTAATATACCCCAATCTATAATCTACTAACTCACTTCTTTTTATTAAAGTCCAAACCCCTTTTGTAAGAATCCAATGACAAATTCTGCTAAAGTTAGACTATTTTAGAGTGGTCTGTTTTAGTACAGTACTCCCCACTTGTATATTACCTACAATCAACTGTGGTCCAAAAAATATTAAATGGAAAATTTTAGAATCAAGCAGTTCGTAAGTTTTAAACTATGTGTGTTTCTGAGTGGCATGTTAAAATCTTACTGTGTCCTGCCTCATCCCACCAGGAAGAGACTCATCCTTTTGTCTGAGTATCCACACTCTATATGCGCTGTCCCATCAGTCACACAGTAACACATTGACTGTTACAATATTGCAGTGCTTATGTACAAGTAACACTTATTTTATTTTACTTACTGGTCCCAAAGCACAAGAGTGTGATGTGAAGGAAGCACCCAGGCCTGAAACATGAAAGGGTCAATTAACCCTGGCACTATGTGGCAGCCCTACAGGGCATAGTGAAAACATAGGTTGTTTACAGTGGATGATAACTATGTATGTGTGGTTCCGGTCATCCACTGAGGGTTTTGAAATACATCCCTTGAGGATAAGAGAGGGACTGCTGTGTTAGCTCAGCTATTGCGTTTCATTCGCAAATGTCGATCAAACGTCGATCACTGTGAGTTGAGCTGTATTGACCAAGAAGATGTATGATGGATTTCCAGTCAATCTCCCCTTTGTCACAGCCCTCCTGTGTTCTCCTGGCAATGAGACTGATAGACTTGCCCTTTGGAGTCTTCGGAGGATCCTTTCTCAAAGGTGTTTTGAGTTTTTTTGGTGTTGTGCTTTCTCACTGCCCTGGTTTGAATCTGATCAGAGCCTTAAAAGATCTGTGTTCCTTCTGCATGAATTAGGGCTTTTGCCTTTTCATTTTGCTCTTGGTCTAGAGGGATGGGTAGGGAGTGGTTGGGCCAGTGTGGGATATTTCATTGCCTTCATAGGCTAGAAAGTTCTGAAAGTACATTCAGAGAGACTCTAAGCCCAAAGTCCCATGCACTCTACCTCCTAATCTTTTGGGTCTGTTCTGTCAGGTGCAAGACCACTCCAATGGACTTGTTCCTCAGAACCTGGCTAATGGTGTCAGGAAGGCCTCATGACAAGAGGATGGCTGAAGAGAAATCAAGGCAGATCAGAGTTGTAGATAAAGTGAGATGCAGTTGTAGATAAAGTGAGATGCAGTCAAGGCCCCTTGACTTTGAGTTGTTTTTTTTCCTATAATCCCCTGGTACATTTAATGCCTTTGGGGCATGGAAAGAAATGAAATTCTATGTTAACTATTTGTATGTACCCTCAAAGACCTTTCTGATAGGTTTAGATTCATTGGTTCAGTGAACAAGAGTTAAGGTGTCAGGTATTTAGGGATTCATGGTCACCCTAGAACAGAAGCAATCTGCTCACTGCCTGAGCCTGTCAACAGTAGACATATTCAGCTGTGGCCAGCAAACCACAGATGGAACCATGTCAGGAAGTCTGGACCGGGTCTCCCCTCCCTAAGCCCCTTTCTCCCACTGTGTGTTAAAGCTGCCCTCCTCTTAGCGGGAGACTGACTGTCTACCTGCTTTCCCAGTGCCCAGAGAGAAGCAACAGTTCTGGAACTGCCTTCTGCGCTCCTTGGACATGAGAGAGACAGGCGCTGATGCTGTCCGGATAGCTAGTGTGGCTGCACTGCAGTGTTAGGACAAGACAATGCTGGGAAGAGGATCCAAACTTCCATTCTGCCCTGTTTGAGTTCCCGTGTCCTCCGAATATGCTTGAGAGTTTGTATTTGTAGCACATTAATATGGCATGAAAGGGGACCAGTTTCACTGTTGCTTAGTTAAAGGCTAAGAAGCCCGAGAGCTGTTTGGGAGTTTGTTCACACTGCTGCTGGAGGCTGGCCTCCTGCTGGGCCTCCCCACCACCCTTAGACCCTGAAGACTGCATTTGATGTGTAGACGTGATGGGAAAATGAATGGCAGATTCAGAAGTAGCCCAGGGAGTTTGAGGTCTCCTTCTAATAGGAGAGATTTTGACTTTCATTCTGCCCTTGGAGAGGAGTTTGTTTTTTGTTTTTCTTCTTTTTCTACTTTCTCCTTGTTTTACTAGTTCTCACACCTTGACGGTCTGTCTGACTTTTAACTATTTTATATAATCACAGGGTCCTTTTCTGTAATCATATATAACTAATTCTGGCTGTATCTCAAAGGGATTGGAATGTAGACATTTCCACAGTGGCTCCACCTTCCCCTGCTGTCTATGGTACTGTTACTGACTTTGTTAGTGGTGTATAGCTCTGGAATTTTCCTTTGCGTACCTAGCATACCTGACCCTAGATAAAACCTTTTTCTTTTTCTTTTTTTTTTTTTTTTTAATAGAAGGAAACAGTTTGTAGAGGCAGTATCCCTGAGCACAACTTTGGGTACAATTTTGCCTTCTGGATTGCTCCACCTACCTCCTGTCTGGTCTTGCCATATTTATATCCCTATTAAGACATTTGCTCTATGTCCAGTTGTTAGTCATGGGTAAGGTGATTGCTTAGAAAATTTGATAAAATAGTGATGCTGAAATCATTCGTAATAATTGTTCAGTGTGTTGCCCTTCCAACAGAAATTCTGAGTTGTGTGTCCCCAAGGGAAGGGGGTCCTCCGGTAGCTCAGCTGGCCTAGAATTCACTATGTAGACTAGGCTGGCCTCAAACTCACAGAGATCTGCCTACCTCTGCCTCCTGAGTGCTGGGATTAAAGGCGTGCACTACCATGCCTGGCCCAGACCCTGGTTTTAATTAACAGCATAAACTTGAACTTACCATTTTCTCTACATGGTCCAGCATTTCCATAACTAGGAATTTGGGGAAGGGCTTTTGTTCCTTCTAATTTAACATTTGGGAATCTCTCTGTCTTTAATAGTCCAGAGAGAAAGACTTCTTAGCAGGTGATAAGGCACTCTTTGTCATTGTTTTTATTTGCTTACGTATTGAGATATGTTATCACTGTATAGCCATGGCTGGATTCAGACTCACTATGGAGCCCAAGCTGGCTGGCTTGGAATTTGTAATCATCTTGCCTCAGCCTCCTAAAAGCCTAGCTTATAGGGGTGTGCCACCCCTTACCAACTATGCTGTCATTCTTGATCATAAAATTGCCATATTGTTTCAAGTTGTGTCTTAGACACTAGGACCAAGGACCAAGGATCTGATGATAATCACCCACCTGTCCTGTCCCTTCAGAAGACTGGAGAGTTACTCCTATGATTGCTTTATGATCCATTATGTTCCATTTATTTATTTATTTATTTATTTATTTATTTATTTATTTGTGAGAATTCCACACATGCATATAAGGTGGGTTTTTTTAAGTTTATTTATTATTTTTATTTTATGTGTATGAGTGTTATGTCTGCATGTAGGTAAGTGCACCCATGTA